TGTTAGTTTAGTTTACCGGAAAAAAAACGTCTAAAACCAAGTCAGCTACGACATACTTGCAGCAATTTGGTCTAGTTGAACTTCTTTTGATGCTACAACTATTGGGAAATTTGAATCGACTCTTTCGTTTCAGTCCTGTTAAAATGATCAAATCGTATGACATTTTGTTTCATATTTCTTGACTTTAGGCACACAATTTTATAATAGACTAATTTCTCAATACTGCTCCCGAACGTAAACTCGCAGAGATCGGTAAGTGTATACGATTTCGCCTTCCCTGGTATTATTTTGGAGTTCCTAAGTCTGCATCGCTGTTTCGCCATATCTGGCGGATTTTCTGTCACTGTTATAATATTAACACTAACAGCATTTACATAATTCCCGAATGCAGCAGTTTTTCTCTATTTAGTAATGACGCGGTCTGGAGAATAATTGCAAATATTTTGAAGAGCCTCTCAGTGATATATTTTAGGATGCCTTTTTGACCTTGTCGACAATTATTAAACGCATTAACACGAATGACTATATTCAGTGTCAATCGGCTTTGAACTTGCAGTCGGAATTTTGTTGATGTTGCAACTGTCTAGAGATCTAAGCCGACCCGTTTAAGAGGTTTCATCTTCGGTAAAACAAAAACCCAATAAGCATTATACCGCATATCTCTTTGACCTATTTCCACTTCAACAAATTTACATACGTTTTGAAGTCAACAATAAAAAAAGGAACAATTTCACCAACCAAACCAAAAATTCGATATTTACAAACAGTTCAGTTGTTTTTTTCTTAGTTGATTGTATGTATTATAATTCCAAAAGTGGCTTGTAGAATGAAAACATGTACATAACCTATGGGAAAAGAAGTGGAAGAGAAAAACATATCAAATATGATAATTTTTTGTTTACGAAGAATCTGAGGCAGATACAATGTAATTAACGTCTGATTTCTATTCGTTCCAAAGTCAGACCCAATTTCATGTTCCCGACATTGCTGTTATTTAGACACACGATTGTATAACAATACTTTCAACTAATGTTTAAATTTTGTTTCATTTCCCTACATGGTACGTTTTGGATGACAAAGGTGCCGGTAAGTGTACAATTCGCTTTCTTTGCCTACTTTGGTGTTCTTAAGTTTGGTTCCCGGTTTCGCTATTGATCAATAACATTTTCTGTATTGAATGACTCGATCAGTATTTGTCACGGGCCAGTGAATGGTATCTGAAGGATGTTGGATGCACTTTTTGACTCCGTCTTTTGTAACAAACCCTTTACAAGGTTCATATTAAAAAGGTCAATATTAAAATGTAGTTCCAGGGCCACCGTAGTTTTGAAATGGTGTCATTCAACACCAATCTTCACTTTAAACAAGTGTTAATTTAGTTTAACCCCCCCCCCCCCACAAAAAAACCTCTCACACCGAACCAAACATAAACTGATTCCCCAAAAAACGGTTTCGGTTACTTTTCTTTCGATGTTGCAACTATCCATATCAGTCGACCATTGGAAGATGTTTCTCTTGGGTAAAAGAACGCACTGTATGTACAGGATACAATCAGCCTTTCTTACCTTCGAATATCAAAAACATTATTTCAAAACTCAGAAACTAAGTTTCATTTTAACTAGTTTGTCTATGCAAGCGAAGGGGAAAGAACATATAATTTTAAACAGGAAAAAAATGAAACTACCAAACCTAACATTGTAATTTTACAAACAGAGTGGGCTCAGTTTAATTTCTTTCCAAAATAAAGATTTCCGGGTGTAACACTTTTTTTTTAAAGCTATCCTTACTTCCGGGAATCTGTCTGTTGTCGTTAAAAATGTAATTCATTACATGGTGGTGTTTTAATTTGCACTTAAATGAAGACTATAATTATAGATTCAACCACTAGAGGCAATTATGGTAATTTAGCCTGAAACAAAAAAAAGGAAAGGAGGGAATATGATGTTTACATGTTTCAACGTTTCAATTTCCTTCTGCAAAACAGCAAAAACCCTGCTGTTGTTCAATTTTAAGAAATACTGTACAGCTTGCTTTTATTTTAATGAGCGTTTTATTTCATTTGCAGCCATAGGTCATTTATTTTGTTTACGAATACGCTTAGGTAGATACAATGTAATTAATGTCTGATTTGTATTCTTTCAAAAGTCAAATCCAATAACATTTTCCCGGTTTTGCTGTTCTTAGACACACGATTGTATTACAATAATGTTTTAATTAATGTATTTTTTTTTATTCCCTTACATGTAACATTTCGGATCACAAAGCATTCTGTAAGTATAAAAATTCGTTTTCTTTGTTTACTTTGGTGTTCATAAGTTTGATTCCCTGTGCGCTATTTATCAATAACATTAAGGCTTATATGATTTCAGAGGGCAGCATATTTTCTGTACTGAATTACATGATCAGTTCTTGTCACGGGCCAGTGGATGATATCTGAAGGATGTTGGATACACCTTTTGGAACAATTGCTCAAGCGACTATGTGGAATCATGGGGGGGGGGGTTCAGCCACAAAAATCGCCATTTATTTAAGTAATTATATCAGAAATGGAGTAACCCATTTCCTTTCCCGGTTAATTACCCATACAGTTCTGGTTAAAAAGAAAGACCGAGAACAAACGGTAAAGATTTGTTACAAATACACTATAACATTTTATTGCAACCATAGACTGAGTGTGAAAGTCGAACATTCCAAAACTGGGGGAGTTTCATTTTTAACTTACAAGAAAGCCTTTTAAGTTCAGCTTTTTGAAGCAATTTGTTAGAAATTTCGACCAAAAAAAGAAAAAGGGAGGAATGGAAGAAATATTCAAGATATCATGTTGGCATTTTGTTACAATCTAGTCTGTGCAACAAGTAAAAAGTCTGCTGTTGTTCATTAAAAAAAAAAATATCCAGCTTCCTTATACCTTAAAAACTAGCGTTTTTCTCATACCGCCATTGAGAACCTGTTTTGTCTACAGAGACTCGGCTACTTTTATTGAGATGAAGCAACCACAGACTAACTTTATATCCCCCAAACATTAAAAAATAAATGGGTCGAAGTAATCGAGACTGCCTATATCTAACTTAATATGATGCAAGACCGAACTCCACTTTGATTCAGTTTTTTTGGGGAAAAAAAGCTCTCGTACCAAGCAGAAAATGAACTATTTTCAAAAAATTGGGTTCAGTTGATTTTTTTTATGCCACATCTGTATAGAGATCTCAGCCTACCCGTTTAAGAGGTTTTAGCTTCGGTGAACAAAAACTCTAAAGCATACAAAACGCTATTCCAATACCTAAAAGCATTTTACTATCTCCTTGACCGAATTCAATCTTCAGCTTACACTAGAGTCGCAATTAAACAAATGCGCAAACGAAAGGAAAAGAAACCACAACTTTAACAACAGTCCAAAAACGTACACCATTGAGTCAAAATGATCGAAATCGTCTTGATTCTTTTGTTTTCGTTCCGTTTAGGATTTTTCTGTCAAAAAATATAAACTTAATTTCACTCTTAACAAGTTTACAGTATTTGTCGATATAATTGTGTCAATAATTTATTATGTTTACGGAGACTCAGCTAGATTCAACGCAACGGATGACCAAGTTCCGTCTTTTTGAATGGGTTAAAATATTCAAATGCAATGTCATTTCCGGATATTTTGTTTTTCCTTTTGACATTGTAGAAGTTGTTATTCTCACAGCTCTTTTTCCCCTTTTAATACAGAGAGGGGTATCCCGTGGCCTATCATCGGTAAGTATACACGGTTTACCCATAACTTCTGAATGCTGTTCATTTTCAATGCCCAGCTTGCTATTAAGCTTAAAGGGACGATACGGCTTGGAATGCGTCCAATTGGGCTACAAAACGCGTTTTATACGAGATTATATTAAATAGAAAGTTCATTTAAAAGTAGGATATGAACGTCCACACAACCATCTTTTAAAAAGTAGGCGTTTTGTGTTATTTTAGCGACTACCATGCAAGAACGAAACATTCAGTGCTAGTTTTATCCAGTCTCACAGTGGTTCGCACTCTGTGGATGTGTAAGAAACAACATTTATACACGGTACCCTCTGGAGACGTGCACACAATAGGGAACAAAAGATTGTATACGTCTCCAGAGGGCAATTTCTATAGATGAATACAAGTTTTTCACGAAATAGATATATGGCTTTTACTCAAAAACTAGGAATTTCCAAGTTGGGTTGATCCGTCGCATAATGGAAGAGTTTTAGAAAAGGGATATTAAGTCCAAATTTCAGACAAGTAAATTAATTCTGGTTATAATAAGAATAATAAGAAATAAGAGCATTTTGAAACTTCACTTTCAAACTCAAAAACTTTACTACACAAGAACAAAGAAATGTCTCCGTCCAGAAGGATGCGAATTCCAGTATGTGTGTATTTGTAAAGTGTGTACATGTATCATGTACCACGCACACAACGCGTTTGTTTATTGTGCAAATCAAGGACACACACGTGCAAAATCATCGATGAATTGTATAACACCAATGAGAGCAAAAACATGTAAATATAAACAAAGGAAAAGGGAAGAGGAACGATGTGAAAATCCTCGATTTACATCATAAACAAACCTGAGTGGGTATGCCACAAAATTTCCGTTGCGTCCGATGTAAACAACCGGGGTTTTTCTCGCGAACGGTAAAACATTGTGATTGTTTCCTTTCAATCAGACCTTTGAAAAAGTACATTGTATAAGTAAACAATCCAAAGCATGATATTTTTTTGTATTTACTTACAAGTTCCAGTTAGCTCCATTTGGTTTACGGGTTTACTTTAATTGACCGATGCATATTGGTTTCTTTCATATCTTCAAACGCATTACATTGAGAACGTAGTTATAAATTGTCGCATAGAAGTTGGCATTGCCGATGATAATTTTACTGATGCATACGACTTTTTTCATTTATCAGATTGTTTGGATTTCTAAAAAAATATATACCAAAATACAGATATTTATAGTGTCTCGCTTTTACTCTTTTGAACCGCAGGAAGTTCTTCAAGCAGAGACATCATCAGTTGTGCAATCACCCCCAGAAAAAGAAGAGAAACTTCAAAGTGTGTAGACATAAATCATATGTGGATAATGTAATTCAACCCAGCTCGAAATAGTACACGTCACATTTCACCCAAGCTCAATTAGTAGGCCTATACGTCAAATTTGTGTGAATGTGCAGTGTGTTTTACGTTAAAATTATATGACATTGTCTATGTGTTAAGATTTTAATGTTTACAATCAAGTTGAGTAGGAAACTATAATAGTAATTCAGCATTTTTCTGAGAACTTCCAAGCAGTGGAGGCTGCAAACCTTCACGTAAACTCATGATTTAAAGGCCACTCAATCACCCATTCAGAATAATTTTCTTGATGGTTTGCATTGACTCTAACCAATGTTGTTTACAATCAAGTTGAGTAGGAAGCTATAGTAATTCAGCATTTTGAGAACTTCCAAGCAGTGGAAGCAGCAAACCTTTACGTAAACTCATGATTTGAAGGCCACTCAATCACCCATTAATAGTAATTTTCTTCATGGTTTGCATTGACTTTAACCAATGCTTTGTTTACAGTGTAACTTGCATCCTGATTTTGTTAACAGGCATCCCACCCACTCCGGCAACACACCTAAAGAGGATCCTTCAGGAACACGACAACTTCGCCAAAGACTGCAGCGAAGACACACTGAAGGATAACACCTTTCAGTTGCCGTACATTGCAATCGGTTACTTCGACCATGATGGTGGAAGCCTGTCCTTGGGCAAGTACAATGTCCACCTGTACATCCCTCGTGGCGCACTTCCCAAAAAATCACTACAGCAGGTTTACATCTACGTCAACCCGAATGCGCCACCTGTTGACGGGATCGATCCGTCAAATTGTGTCTTGTCACCGATGATCCAGTGTGGCCCAACAGGTCTGGAGTTTCTGGACAGCGTGGTGCTGTCCTTCCCTCACTTTGCAAAGGAGGGAAGCGGATGGGAGCTGCGTGCACAGTTGTGCAATGGCGAAGAAGGCTCACTCAAAACCTGGAAGACGCTTGATGCAGGTGTTGACGGCGTCGTGGTGTCGACTAAAGGCAAGACCGTCGTTCTCTTGATGAAACACTTCACAGGGGCAGCTCTAGTTGGCAAACCTTCCGCAACGAGCACCAAGATAATGCAGGCTGGAGTGTTTGGGAGCCCCTTTGATCAGTCTGAGGATCTTTATAGTTTCCGGTTTCATCTCTGGAACAATGAGCCAGTTGTCGAACAGGTAAAGCACCTGATTCTTTGTAAGTAATGGTTGACACTTTATCAACTGATATTTTGGGTACATAATGCAAGGAGTGGAATATTTTGGTGTGGATAAAAAGAATGCAAAGCCATTATCATTTAAATATACTTCAAAACCGAGGTAAATGTAATTAAAGAGTAATATTTAAGGTAACAAATAATGTGTACATACAAACGCAAAATAATTGAATATGCGTCTTTATAATATAACTTGCGAAACCCGTCTTTTATTCACGCCGCACAGAAAGTTGTGGAGATGGAAGAGAAAATGGGCTCCCAGCCATTGGACACTTACAGATCACTGATAGTCTGCAGGTCAGGAGACGTGCACGCTGAAATCGAGAACATCAAGGAGGGTTGGGAACTGGCATGTCCTGCATTACAGGTAGTGTTAATGTTTTCCCAAATGTCTATGTGATTGTCTTTACCTGCAGATCAGACCCTTTCCTAGACAACTTCCATTGTCAAAAGTATGGCGTCAAGACTGGCTCATACCCAAGAGAAATTGATATATGTTTTTCACGCATTTCATTTCAAAAACAACACAACACAACACCTGTTTATAGAGGTTTTGCATGGAACAACAAAGCCAATTTTCTTATCGTGAAGAACTCTTTGTTTGAGACAGAGACCTACAAAGTGTACCGTTTCTAAGTTTTACTCTTGGCGCGTAGGATGCATTTTCGAATAAACTAAACCATTTCCTTCAATATGAAGTTAATTATATTACATGTGGTACACTGACATTTGTACGAATGATTGATGCATTCTCAATTCAACATTTTCAAGAGTGTATTTGACAGTGCATTCATCACGATATCTTGGTCAGCTTTTGCATATGGTTGCAGGCCAGTGAATTGGTCCAAAATTGTCTACGCCGGCCAAATGACGAGTTGCATGCCCTCAAATTCTTCGGTATTTGAGCATATTTTGGGCTATGAACTTGAGGGTTTGTAGAAAACATAGGGGTAGAAACCGTGCAATTTGGATGAAATTGGGGCCCTACAAGACAGTGCTCTATTTTGCAATGGAGTGTAGGCATCGTTTTTCAAAAAAGCGATGGGCTTCAGGCCCATTTTTTACCCCTGGTATCCCTCAGGCCCTAAACAGTCAATAAAACTTGACACTAATCTCCGCAATGCCATTTGACAGTTCCATTTTGGTCACAGGGGTGATCGAGGTAATCCCTATGTGAACAATGCATTTGTACACAAGCCTATGTAAATGCACACAAGCACACTAGGTTTTCCCGCCAATTTCCAACCCCTCCAGTCGGATCACAAGACTGACACCCCCTCTAGTGGATGTACCATGGTCCATACTAGGATCTAGTGTTAGATGACCTGGGCATGGCTACCACGTGACTGGGACAATAAAAAACAAAGAAATGTGGAAGTGATTTTATTCACACTGACTCCAGCTATGATTATCTTTGGATGGACATTTCTCCTCAAAGTCATTGGTTAACCCCCCAAAATTGAAAGGAAAATGAGAGATGATGAAAAAAAACCTTTCATTTGATGTATGTCTCGAACACCTTGGAAAGTTGTAAGTATTTTTCCTGAGTTTCTGAAGTGGGGGCATTTAAGAATTTATTACTGGTCTGCAACCTAAATTTAATTATTAAATGGTTCCTTGCCAAAATGGCGGGCGCATGCGCTTTATATGCCACGACAGTGTTTTTTATGGGGTGTGGCCGGGGGGGGGGGGCAGCGTTTCAAATAAGGATCATCAATGGTGGTTCCGTAATTTTTCACCTAAATCAGAAGTGACCGATATACCGTCATCAAAATAAAGCAATTGTGACCAAAACAAATGGGGGGGGGGGTGTAATTTGGGGGTTGGAAGGAACTGGAACTCAATTAACTCGCATTGAGGGTGCCCTACAGCACGCCAGCCGCAAACAGAAGGTTTGTTTTTAGGGCAGATATCGAACTCAGAGAACGTTTTCTCCCAATTTATTGATGAAATATAAGTCATCCATCCTACCCCATGCCGTACAAGCGGTTATGGGAGAATTTTTCAAAACTTCGCTTCTTTAAAGGTTGCAGGCCAATAACAAAAAAATCGGACCAAAATTGCAATCGCCGGCCAAATCACAACTTGCATGCCCTCAAATTCTTCGCTTTTCGAGCAAATTTTGGGCCATGAACTTGAGGGTTTGGTAAAAAAAATATGGGTGGAAGCCGTGCAGAGGACTGTGAGCGTGTAGTTCTGTGCAATGGGATGAAATTGGGGCCCTAAAAGCGCTCTATTTTGAATGGACCGTAGACATCGTTTATCAAAATGGTGATGGGCTGCAGGACTTTTTTAAGGGGTGACCATCATTGGATGGACAATTCTTCTAAAAGTCATCAGTTAACCCCCCAAAAAAATTGAAAAGAAAATGAAAGATGATGTAATAAGCTTTAATTTGATGTGTGTCTTGAACATCTTGGAGAGTTGTGAGTATTTTACTTGATTTTCTGAAGTGGAGCATTTATCATGGGGGACTATGGCATTTTTTTTTACTGGTCTACAACCATATAATCATACAATAGTCGCCTGTCCCAATTACAGTGTTTACAGTACATGAATACTACAAAGGAACAATGACAGAAGCGAACATATCGCAGCTGGCGTAGGGCCTTTCGCATAAATCATGGAATTTGGTAATGCAACAAATTATTTGATGTTTTGATGCACAAAGTGTATAATTAACTGTACAAATTAATGTTGGGCAAATAATCCGTTGGAAAAAATGAAAACAACGCAATATGTACATGCAATTTTGCCCGATAGTTGAATGTGTTTACTATTCGCCCATCGTTGGTCCAATAGTCAACCAATTTTGGTAACAGTGATCATGGTAGAATCACTATACTGTATGGTTACTCATTTTTTTCTGGAAACACGAAAATAACGAGTATAACTTTGTCCTTACACAACTTTTCGCAGTCGTATTTCAATCTATTCATTTTTTTTCTTCAAAAAGACAACAAAGAGAAAAAATCGATAAACAAAAAATCGATATTGATGCATCTCTCCCTATTAGAAACAAACCATATCAGTCAAAAGAATCTGGGAGCTACCCACGGACTCTTTCACCTTTCTAGTCGAGCGCCACGATTGCCAAATGAACAAAGCACCCCGTTGCGACGGTTTCATTTGCCAGATTAGTTCCGACACAGAAGAGGTTTCAAATGGAGACAGGGTTGACTTCCACTTTATACCACCGAGGGTAAGTCTCGAGGAAGAATTAACATAAACAAAAAGTCCATGTAAACACATTGCATCGATGTAAAGTTTCTTTAAAATATTCTGGGTGCTTCCAGTTTGTTCCCACTTCTTTCGAGAGAGCACTTTACTAAATTAAAATCTAAAGCCAGATGTCAATGCATACCGGGCTGTTTTTCTGCTGATTTACTTTTCCAACTGTTATTGCAAAAATTCATTGTTTATTCATGTTTATTGTTCCCAATTACTTTATTCAGGGCTAATACTTTTGTATGGCATACCAACATACATGTACAGGGTGAGTAACAAAGAAAGTGACCGAGTTTGAAAAATATTTTTAAAATATTTGGCTTGCTCCATTTCATAAAAAAGGGGTAAAATACATTTTATTGACTTGTAACTGTAGAAATTTCACGTAATTTGCATACTCTATTTTCAAGTTATGACTATTTCAATAAAAAGATCACAAAACTCGGGTGTCCACCACTGATCATTTACCGTACTACTAACTGATGAATACCCACTGAGTACAATGAAACATGGATGTTTTCCCACCTCGATGAATGAACGAGAACTTGCACAGGAAAACATAAGAAAAAGCCCTCAATATTTCAGGGGAAAAAATATTGACTTGTTCCTCATATTCAAAACACACTTCTGACAGTAAAAATAATGTTAAAGTCTTGATTTCAATTATTAACATCTCATTTGTAGTTACATACTTGTATGTACTCTGTAAATTTCAATAAGCTCAAAAGCTTCCAATGGCATTCAATGGACGGCTATAAAATGGGTTATTTTAGTTAAAAATGCATAACTTCTGATGGCATGGATCAATTTCAGTATTTTTTTTCTGTTGAGTGGGAGAACATGCTCTTTTAAGACATACTTCATTGGTTTATAATGTGGTTGCTTTTTAATAACAAAAACCCTTTAATCCGGGTCACTTTCTTTTGGACTCACCCTGAATAGCAAATATCAACATGTCACACTTCTGCGTATCTTAATTCCTTATGAGTTGCGCATTGACATTCTTTTCATACGCAGTCGTACGCATAATACGCACCTCATATGCATCTCTATCGTTTTGTGTAAGTTTTCTGTACGCAGGCATACGCATGGTACGGCCCAGTACGCTGGATAGTTTTGGGCATGCACAAAACTACGCTGCGTACGCTGTTACGCATGTCATAAGTTATAAATACGCAGCGCATCGGTCCCGCATCGGTCGAGCGCGGTAAGAGTACGCTATGTGTTCATGGGGGATAAGCCGTTCACACGCGGTAATACGCTGATCTCCTATATTGGACGTATACATAACGTACTTGCAGCGCAGCTACAACGCACGCTGAACGAACTCATATCAAGTGCGACGTATTGCAAGAATTAGCAACGCTCGTCCTACGAGCGGGCAGCGCATTGTACTTATTCGTAACTTATGCGAAACGCACGGATAGCAAACTTGCGCACTGCATACGCAACTCATACACAACTCATACGCATTGGATGCGCTGAATTCGTTACTTGACCGCGTCACACATAAGTCAAAGTGATCAAAACATTTCGACGTTAATTGAGCGTACGGCTGCGTATTGAAAATGTTTGATAAGGAACTCATAAGGAATTAGGATACGCAAAGGTGTGACAGGGGCTTAAGCACTTTTACTTATGTGCGACGCACATCTAGCGTACAAGTAACCAATTCAGCGCATCCATTGCGTATGAGATGCGTATGAGATGCGTATGCAGTGCACAACATTATTACATTATGCAGTGCGCATGCCGAGCGTATTCCGGACGCACCCGACTTATGCCGACCGCATGCTTGACGCACTTCTGAGCGTACTCCCGCCGCATTTCCGCCGCTCGCCGTTCAGCGTGCGTTGCATCTGTGCTGCAAGTACGCTTTGTATACGTCCAATACAGGCGGCTTGTATGCTGACGGGGTGCGTCCCGAACACATAGCGTACTCGTAACGCACTCGACCGATGCGGGACCGATGCGCTGCGTATATATATTTTATGACCTGCGCAACAGCGTACGCAGCGTAGTTTTGTGCATGCCCAAAACTATCCTGCGTGCTGGGCCGTACCATGTGTAAATCTGCGTACATACAACCTACACAAAACGATAAAGATGCATATGAGGTGCGTATTGTGCGTACGACTGCGTATGAAAAAAATGTCAGTGCGCAACTCATAAGGAATTAGGATACGCAAAAGTGTGACAGGGCCCCTAAAGTCTTGTTAGTCTCTGGCTGTGCGCCGTGGTCATAGATGGGTCGTATGGCGACTGCGTAAATCGCCTTTACATGACTCCGGCTTGACCACGTTGTAGCCGCGTCCTTCGCAATTCAGCTTCTCTGCTCTAAGTATAAGCAATAGAATAAGCGATGAGTATACCTCAACTGTCTTATGAACAACATTAACAAGACTGTGTTTGTTTTCTCTTGTTCTTCTTAAAATATAAGGGATCGATACCAGTGACCGAAAATCAGAGTCCGTGCTACAGGTGCCGAAATGTAAGTATAACAGTTTAGAGAGATATTTGCTTTTCAAAAAATGCCTTGGATTTTGGGTGTTTTTTGGAAGTCGTACTGATAATTGTTGTAAGTAAACCTAAATAAGTACGAACAACAGATTTTTTTTTTCGAACTGATACCAATCGATTTATTGGATGCCAGTCTATATTTTTTTTTTTTTAGATAACATTGTGTATTAGACATTTTCATATGCTTACATAGAAATGGTCTTTTTTCGATTGTATTTTTTCTGGAGTAATAGAAAATAAGTCCTAGCAGGGTATGAGATAACTTTATATTTCTTTAAAAAATAGTGTACATAAGTTCTATTTGAACGCTGAACCCTTCTAATCTGTGTGATACATGCCTTTTATGTTTATGTGTATTGGTTTATGACTACACATTGGAATAGAGATAAAAAGTGACATACACCAGAATTTTGTTGGATCCTGAACTAAATTATTTGCTTTTGTTTTAGGATGAAGCCCGCTCAATCTGCCCATCCTGTAAGGTGAGATAATGCGCGTTCGTGTGAAACTTATTTTTTTCTTTTATTGTGAGACTAGAGACAGAAACTCGGTCGAGACAGTTTTGTCAACGACTTTTCCGTCTTCCGTTGTTCATTTAATATTCTCTGCTTTATTGTGCTGTACCATATCGAGCCTATGCTCTTGAATACATGCACTTTATAATAAATACATGCTTGTGAAATAATTATGGTGTTAACAAACACGGAAGCAGCAAATAGATGGTAAAATCCACCAATTTGAGCCCATTAAAAGCGTTAGAATGTTTATAAATTGTTGCAAAAACAGCGTTTATAAGAGTTCCAAAGGTAACACCAGGTTTTAATTAGTGTATGGACTGATATTGTGTTAGACATGTATGTTTACTGATTGTCTTTTTAGGAGGCGATGAAATGTGTTCAAGTCCTCAAGAATCGAGACCTGTCGGATGGTGATTATGGAGGCTTATCAGAGGTGATGGTACACATTTTCTGTAAAAAAGGAGACACGGCCAGAGTTGTGGCGGAGCTAGCAGATGTCGACCACAGCTCGATGGAAGCACAGGATTCCTTAAAGGTCTTCTTTGGCGGTCAAAGGGCGCGTGGCGTCCGAGACAGGACGGCTGTGAAGCGTCTGCTGGACTCTTTTGATGAGCCCACTGTGAAGAATGTTAGGAAGAAGCTGCGAGGGACAGGTATACAGACAAGTAGCGGGTCAAAATGACATTTCTCTGACTCATTGGTTGATCATTGTTTTGCCCCGAAATCTTGATAAAAGTGTCATTTTGACCCATAAAAGTGTAAAGCTCAATAGAACCCTGATTCCGGATGAAATTTAGACTGTTTAGAATGGGATCGCTTTCAGTTTTATCACGCGTCTTTAGAGACCCCCACAAAGGTCGAAACTTTACTCAAAACTAGTCCATGACTGCCACTTAAAGGTGTGCATTTTGGTGACTGCCAATGCTAAAATTTGGAATTCTTACACAAAAATGAAGGCTTCTGAAAATTGTTAACTCTCACATGAGTCATGCCATAAATAAGGGGTCCAAAGTGTAAAATTGTTATATATGATTGGATGCAAAATATTGTCTTTAACCTTTGCAGTTTAAACTTGTAGGACTGGTTGATCTTAGTGCCTTAAACGTACATTTTTCATATTCCAACTTAATTTCCTTCTTACATGACAAAAAAACACGCTTTCACTTGTAAAACTGACACCGTTCCTGTTACATGTGACATTGTTGAATTATTTGAGCCATATTTATGTTGGTTTTCATCGAAAATGTCTAAAATTCAATACATATATTATATAAAGCAATAAAGATACTTATGTATGTTATGAACATTTGAATTTGACAGGCTTAAGAAATATAGTGCAAATATGTTGCTATTTTCACGTGTAACACGAGACACCATGGTGTACCCCCAAATGTCCGTTACAGAGTGAAGCAAAATATCTATTTGTGCCATATATCTGTTAGAGTTCTTTGAAGATTTCTGAATTCTATAAGTTTCTAAGAAATGACACTTATTATTCTATAGACATCCAGGCACCCTAATAAAATAACCATAATGTGATAAGGCCAACTAAGACCCGTGTGGTCCGGACAAGACCGCTTTTAATAACTGTAGTTAATGCAGTTATCAAATCACCTTAAATGATAAGAAATGGTGTCTTAGTTATTTTGGTACATCTTAGAGTTGATTTACAGTGATTGGATTGAATGTCTGCGGACGCAGTAAGCTGAATTGAAGAAATACAAATTGGTCACAGTTTTTTGTTCCATTATGGAAGGAATTCTACTACTGCCACAATGTTAATAAAATGTTTATTTATTTTTATTTTTTTAACAATCTGAAGAGATGTTGCTATGATGGAATTTCTTTTGCCCAGGGATCGTAAGAAAACACAATGGCTAATAAATAAATAAGTTCCGGAAAACTAATTGACACCCCTAAAAAGTAATAAAATTAATTTTAAACGGAAATGACAGCGAGTCATATTTAGAATATTGTTCGCTGGAGTAACCAAATAGTCTCTTATCATTGCAAAGGAGACTAAAATTACTTCATTTTGCTCCTACCCCAGAAAACTCGCCAGATGATGGTTCCACATCAATGGGAAAGCCTGAAGATAGGTCTCGGCTTGCCGTGAGTATCCTGCTTGGCAGTTTCTATTGGTCGATGCAAAGGAAACATAGAATACTCCATTGTGAATTAGTGGATCACGACGGAGGAAATTGAACGTGTCGTCCGGTGTCTTGATCTGTTCAGATGTTTCATTGTCTTTTATCTTTTCTCCATTTACCCGGGCACTAGCGCAATTTCCTGTCGTCATTGTGTTACTTTGTTTCAAAATCTGGGGTTTTTTTGTATTGTTCCTAAGACGGTTTTTATTTGTTTTTAGTCGGACATTGCCATCGAGAAGCACTTCCGTCGGCTTGCCGAGAAATTGGGACCGAAATGGGAGACACTGGCAACAGAGTTAGGCTGCTCTAGTGTAAAGCTGTTCAAGATTAAAGAAGACAACCCATGTAACGTGGATAATCAGATATTTGCGATGCTTGTCGAGTGGAAGAAACGGTGTGGGTGGTTTGATGAAAGCATCTTAGCCGAGGCCTTGGAGAAGGCTGGAAGACTTGATCTGGCACAGCAGTTCCGAGGTGAGTCTACTAGTTATTATGCTTGCTAGTTCTTATTTAGGCGTTATATTTATGGTTTTCATAGATTGCAATGACAACATTAAAGTGATTTTCAGTGTTATGGTCCACTTCTCACGGTCAAGTCTTTTTGCAATCTTCAAACAAAGCCAGTTGCTTTTCGTGAACAGCTCAGCCCGATATTGTTTCACGTTTATTGGTATCAAGCATTGACAAACAGGAATGTCCATTATCTTCAACAATGCAAGAGGGGCTTCTTTGTCTTCATTTAGAGTGCCAAACTTGCGAAACTTCCAATACCACTGGCTTTGCCTAGTTTTTCAACTAAGGTGTATTTTACAACTATAATTCCTTCAATGCTGCTTAATCTCAATCAACTTCTGTTTGTATTTTTGATTTCATTGACAGAGATGACGTTGAAAGAAGATGAACACGTCTTGTAAGTAGTGAATCTGGACGCTATTGTTTACCTTTTAAATTGAGTACATGTAGTTTTTAGAAGATAGTAGACACAATGAAATAACTTGGTGGAACACAGTTTTGCTTGTTATTGCTTTTTAAATAAGTTTTTTTTTTATTTGCTGCGCTGTTAGGCATTGCATTTGTATTGGACTTGAAGATAAACTTGCATTAGGCTGTTAATTGTGACTAATATTGCAAGTAAACAGTCAATTTTCTTTTGGAGTGAGATTCTGTAATCGTTGTCAGGCACTTCACAGCGTTTATACATGTACAGTATATTAATGCATGCTGCTGGTATTTGAAGAATGCTATGCAAAAGAAAATAGCGCCCAGTACCTAATTCTTTCTATTTATATTTCACATCTGAATGCCATCATTAAAAAATCGTTACTAAGAAGTTTTATAGGCTGTTCTACCGTCGAAATTTATATAATTTAAAGAAAAATGCGATTTTAAGAGTTGCTGAAAAAAAGGTGTGTTTAATACGAAATTCTGTCTAGCTTTGAGAAAGTGTTTTGCTTTTATTAATAATCAATGGGTACATGTTAGGAGATGATATAAATTTCGATTTTGAAGTTGAATATTAAGGAAGAATTACATATCAAAGCGAAAGTAAATTTACTAGATTTTGTTTCAACTATTGTATAGTATACAAATATTGAGTGGATCAGGAGGAATATTATCGCCTAGTAAAATGTGGTCTTTTCTACTTCACGAGATGGAGCCTAGTGAAATAGAAAAGTCCAAATTTTACCGAGTGATAATATTCCGCCCATTCCACTCTGAGCCACTCAATATTTGTTTTATGTGACTGACATATAGATATCCTTGTCATTTGATTTACAGTTAAAATAAACTTCAATTGTAATACAAAATTGTTAGAAAAATGTATTTCTCTCTTCCCAACCACCCCTTCACGAAACGTTTGAAACCAACTATGTAGCTACTATACTCGCTCTTGGGAACAATACGCATAACGCTCAACTCGCACACCAGTATGCACTTGCACACAAATACCTGCCCCATGGAACAAGGATGGCCCTAACTGTTGAATAGTAAATCCCATTTACCATGGCCGAATTTGTTTTTTTTGTTTGTGCCCCGTTGTGAATGGGAGCAATACTAAATACCACGTGATGTGAGTTCCACCAATCAAATGACAAGGATCTGCATGTCAGTTATATAAAACGTTTTTTGACTTTTTAAAGTGAGCTGAATTACACCTGTACATGTAATTTTTCTGCATCATCTGCTAATTATAGTTCAAGTTATTTCAAAAAGACGTAATTGTATTATTTTTAGTTACACATACAACAATTTATTTCAAGGTGCGTCTTGAGTTATTTGTCAAGTTAGATATGTACAGTTCAAGAACATTTTGACACATGTTGTGATGCCTCACTGCGACAGTAAGAATGATTTACAATATATTGGTGCCTTCTATTAATAAATAATTACCTGTGGATTTTGTCTACATGGCTTTTCAATGTTTGGCTGATCCACTATTTCGAATACAAACTTAGAGGTAACGTTATTGCAACCTTCATAAATGTAATCAACTTGTAAAATAAGATTTTTTTCAGCAACAATGCCTAATACAGCCTGGGACTGTGGTGTAAATTCTAAGCTTGTATTGTTTGGGTTTTTTTTTTTGGGGGGGTAGGGATGTTGGTGGTGGGGGGCCTTAAAACAACGACGATTACTCGGTTTTCGAAGTTGCAATGGAAAGAATGCAGTATCCCACCATCACCTTTTCATCATATTGCTTAAGTGATGCTCAATTGTTGGAAATATTATGAAAATTATGAATGTTAATAATGAGGAACATTTCAAAATTTGAAAGAAAAGCAATTAAAACATGTCAAAACTCCTGTACAATATATTGTTTTCTTTGATAACAAACGAAGTCTATCATCACAAGTTATCGGGGATGTGATTAAACTAAATACATACACAGACCATTACAATGAATGTTTAATGACCCGATTAATGTTTTACTGTTACTATATATTATTTTGGGTTTATAGCCAGCAGCTTCCGTTCTGTTGTATTCTCTTTCTGTTTGGTATCATGTCGCTCGTGTAGTTTACGCACTTTGTTTGTGTTAATTGTCATTCGTCTGTCAGGTTGTTAGGGGTCTTTTGCCTGTTGCTCTTTTTGTCTGTCTGTCTGTCTGTTGGTTGGGTACTTCCGTCGATGGGGTGTCACTTTGTCCATTTTGCATTTATTTTTGTTTGTTAGGTTGTTGAATTGATGAATGTTTGTTTGTTTTTCCGTTTGTTTACTTGTTGGGCTGTTGGTTGATATCTTCGCCTCCGTGTATGTCATTTTGTTTGTTGGTCTGGTTGTCTGTTTTGACTATTGTGTGCTATTTGTTTGAATTTGTAATTGTTCGAGTGTTTGCGTCATTCTATCTGGGTTGGTGTATATTCCCCAAAATTTACATTTTAATTGTTTGGGTCATTAATATTTTTAATAGTTAGTCTTTGATTTTGAGTAAAAGATGAGTTTATGATTCTGTTATATTTTAGCTCTTATGATTCTTAAAACGCTTTCATGCCTTTTATGTATTTATTTAGGCTTATTTTTTGCGCATTTTGTATTAATTTTGAAATGTAATATGAATTCTGTTTTGGTAAAAAAAATTATAGGTTTTTAGTTGATTGCTAAATGTTATCTAGTGTGAAGCGCCTTTAGCGTCATAGTTTTGACGGATTTTATGATATATTATTCGATAACTCGACATACTGTTTCACCTTTGTATCAGAAGTTTTCAATGAAGATTTGCTGTCCATATTCTCGACCAGTCGATTTGACAGTTCCACATCTGGCATAAAATAAAGTCTTCAAATTCAAATAATTCTCTATATTTAAAATAGCTACCTTCTAGAATTGTCGTTCTGTACTTTTCTGTATTATTTGCAAACTATTTGCATAAACATTAAACATTGACAAACCACATAATTACTTCATACTGTTGTCAAACGCAACGTTTATTGTCATAACAGGTTGGTTCTCTGCAGCGTATACATGAGTTTGTTTCTGCATTCAACAGGGGACGTTGAACAATAGAGGCCAATAGGGTCCCCTATTCCCAAATGTCCCCATTTTGGCGATCGTGTACAAAACATATAGAAGGTCTTCCAAAAAGTTGAAGTATAAACAAAAGAGGGACAATAGGGTGTCCCCGATTGCAGGCAAATACACACTTGTATGTTTTGTGGGCGCTTGTTTGTGGTGTAAACCGAGGACACACACGTGCATTGGTGAATCGAGGACAGGAGCTTAATCGAGGACGACCTCGATTAAAAAACGGGTACAAAACCAACGAGAGCTCTTTCGAAAACGTTTGAGAACAATCAAAAGAAAAGGGAAGAGGAACAAAAGAAAATCATCGATTTTCATCATAAACAAACGTGTGTGTGCTCTTGTATGGCATTACGATTGAGGACGGACCCACAAAAGGATAACAAAAGATCCTTTCAATTCCTTGAACGACGGTGCTTTTGTTCGAAACTGTCTTCGATCGTACGTTTTCGTGCTTAGTCCATTGGAAAGTATAAAAGTACAGGGACAAAGGGAAACACAATAGGTTGTCCTCGGGCGTATAGTGAAACACGACTGCGTGTTTGTGTGTGGGGGAGGGGAATTCACGGGCGTTTCCATCGAATTTGATTGGTTGCTGTGACATTTTCCCACCTGACAGCTTATGCTTGAAGGTGGGTTGGGGGCACCCCCAAAAACAAATCGTCGCATCCCGATCGCCCCCCCCCCTGGATATTTTTTAGCCCTATTAGTCACCACAGTTAACGGGTTTAATAGAAATTGAGTGCTACCTACTGTAACATCCAGCCCCCCCCCCCCCCCCACTCGCCCCTCCTCAATGTGCATACACAAAAGGCATTACAATCTCTGGGGAAAATATAGGACTGGGTCGGCCGTTGAAATTCGAAAAGCGACCGGGGGTTTGGTTTTGACTGCACATCATGTGACACTAGGGGGCGGAATTCATAATGCGAACGTTCATGCTGTGTAATGTTAGCTTCTGTGCTGTTTGTTCTCCGTTTTTTCAAATTATTGATTTGGACCATTAGAAAGTTTAATATATAGTAATCTCAAATTCAGCATGTTTCTTTCTCACCAAAAAAATGGGGGAGGGATGTCGATTCAACTCCTCCCCCCATCACAAACTGTATGGCAATGGTCTCACTGATTTCCATGTTTACAATCTCGATAGCTCATTGGCACTCCCATTATAATGGAATTGAAAAGAAATCTGTCCTAATTTGGCCGCAGTCTTTATTATTTTCTTTACGTTGATTGTAGTTTAACCTCGTCCCCAGTGCTTACTTTATTTCCAACCTCGTTTCCAATAGCAAGCCCTGGATAGGAAACTGATTTGATACCGCAATTTGCTAGTAATGGATTTATATCGTGTAGTTGGTGTTGTTATTTCCAACGTGCATAATGTGCACGCCTTCTCAAAAATCCTTCTTTGCTTTCCAGTTTGCTCATATTAATATGAAATGTGATACTGCATATTGGCGGGCCAGATTGTAACATTTTAACTTCCAATTTTTTTTTTTTTCATAACTCAAGGCGCGACGAATTTATGCCGTTTTTAACCCAGACACTGCATACAAAAACTAACGCTAATGTAAGGAACATGCAGGCATCAGACTATTCCTCATTTGCATACGTGTTCAAAAATCTTGCACATGCAAATGAGCCAAAAAACAGGGTAAGAGAGAAGGTATTGGTGGGCGCGTACTGCTTGACACCCTGGGGACGAGGTTGAATGTAGGTCTCTTAGGTTTTTTTTAATAGTTGAAATGAGGTACGACTTTCATATTTTCTATACTCGGTTCTATTGAGATAAAAATTGTTATAGATACCAAAACACTTCCCCCAAACATTTAAAGCAACCTTTTCATGTAATTTTGGCCACATTAAACAGTATATGCTCACACATGTAAACCAT